TCGAACACCCGTGTGCATTGTTACGCACGTAAAAAAAAAAAAAAAAAATCCCTTGGCAGTGTCCCTCACGACACAGACAAGACTGCCGTTAGTCAGAGATGCCACCATTCGCATGACACAAACATACAAGACCACCACTAGTCAGAGATGCCACCATTCGCATGACACAAACATACAAGACCACCACTAGTCGGAGATGCCACCATTCGCACGACACAGACAGACAAGACCGCCGTTAGGAAAAGCCGAAACAACAAAAGCAAACAGAACCGGGAGTCAGTATCATGCCAGTGACGTAAACTATTCCCAGGCCTACTTACTGCCAATCCCAGGTCCTAATTCCTAGACCGTATCCAGCACAGGTGTCATCTGGGGAATTTTTTTTTTGTTTTTAACAATCCTGCTCTATTCTGGGGCAAGTTTTGATTAAATACGTCTGGATCTTTTTCTTTCTGTCTTCTTCTGCCTTTCTAGCCCCCAATGGAGCACAAGACCTCAACCAACTCACGTCAAGTCGTTCTATCCTTTGCTATCAGCTGATCTGAAATTCAGTACACATTTTTTTATTCAGTTATAACTTTATGTAGTATTTAATTGTCTTTTTAAAAATCCTTTAGTCATTTTCTGTTTTAAAAAAATGTATATATATAAAGGTAAGCCATAAGGAAAGCATACTAACAGTTTAATCTTTGCGGATGTTTCAAAACCTAGAGATCGACTTCATTGCATCGGGTTTATCAAATATGCTCCCCCACCCCTCCCCCGGTCTCTCTGTCTGTTCCCCCCCCCCTCTCTCTCTCTCCTCTTCTGTAAGAGAGCGACACAAAGCACGAACGACAGAACTCCAGTATCGACCCCGAGGCAAATCCCGAAATACTCGCTGATCACTCACTGTCAAACTGTCACTATTGTCTGTTTTACCACCTTTTGAGGGCGGTGTAGACAGGGGTCGTGAACCTGAGGATTTAGGGCTGTACGGCTGGGGCTGTTCCTACGGACTGTACAGGTTAGGATGTTTAATTTTGACCTGACCGGGAGTCAAACTCGGGTCTCCCGTATGACAGCGCGACATTGCAACCACTCAGCCAGCCGCTCCTCCAACTATCTACAAGAGAAGAAAATCAGACATGTAGACTTTTTTTGAACAGCCAACGTGTGGAACATTGCTTGGCATAGAAAGGGTTAAACAATATCTCCAATGTGCCTTACTAGTATCCAAATCATTGACGTCATGGGGTATAGATTACAATGGGGTAATTCCCCAAATTCAAATGAAAACTCCATACACAGGATAATGTAATGCTACCAAGCGCCTGGGCGGATTTGAAAGCTGTACAAGCCAGATATACCCATTCTCACCAACATATCTCAAAGCAAACTGACGGCCAATGGGTTGTATTTTATTTCCAGTCTTTAATCGCCTATGAAGCCCTATTATTCGCCCTGCGGTCACCTGGTTACCATTCACCGTTCCTGTGTTAAGAGCTTTTGTTGACGTCAGAGGGCTTTGAAATCAACGGTTTGCGTTGTTGCACATTGGTGACCTACTTTAGTGAGTCTCAAAACGAATATATATATATATGTATTTTAAAAAAAACGCCAGTACGTAGGATCCTTACACCCAACCGAACAGGACAAGAGGTTACTTCGCAACTATCGGGTGTCTCTATATAACTGTGGTTGAACAGGGTTTTTAAGATTTGTTCCTGTGGGATTCTCATCCGAATAAAGGCTCTTTGTAACTGAGGGAATTAATCAGTCCTTGAAGTATTCAACTTCACTCACGCCAAGGACGTTACAGCCTAGCTGTACACCACAACATAACGTGTCTATCGCCCTTTTAAGGTCAAACGCAGAAGAAGAGGTTTGTCAGTTCCCGCTCTGGGGTGGGGTAGTGGGTGGCTATGGATCGAATGGGAGAATAGCGAAATCGAATACATCGAGCCATTATGAAAGTTAAAGGAAATGAGATGTAGAGTCTAAGAGAGAAGATGCTGGAAGGTATGACATCATGACATGGAAGAACGACTACAATTTGATATGATCACATGGAAGAACATCTGTATCAGAAATAACAGGCTGTAGACAAGACAGAGAGACTGTACACGGGACAGAAGAACAGAAGACGAGACAGAAGAACAGACTGTACACGAGACAGAAGAACAGACTGTACACGAGACAGAAGGACAGACTGTAGACGAGACAGAAGGGCAGACTTACATGAGACAGAAGGACAGATTGTACACGAGACAGAAAGGACAGACTGTACGGAAGACATAAGGACAGACTTACACGAGACTGAAGGACAGACTGTACAAGAGACTGAATGACAGACTGTAGACGAGACAGAAGGACAGAAATGACAAGACTGTACGCGAGACAGAAGGACCGACTTTACACGAGAGAGAAGGACAGACTTACACGAGACAGAAGGACAGACTGTACACATGACAGAAGGACAGACTTACTCGAGACAGAAGGACAGACTGTACACAAGACAGAAGGACAGACTTACACGAGACAGAAGGACAGACTGTACACAAGACAAAAGGACAGACTTACACGAGACAGAAGGACAGACTGTACACATGACAGAAGGACAGACTTACTCGAGACAGAAGGACAGACTGTACACAAGACAGAAGGACAGACTTACTCGAGACAGAAGGACAGACAGTTACAAACGTCGCACTATATGTAAGGTAGCCATAAATTCTAGAAATGAAAACGGGACGTCCTAATATATATTGAGCTGAAAACCAATCGTCCTAAGCAAATCAGTTTAGCCCCCCCCCCCCCCCTTTTTTTTGCCCGTCTTTTTATTTTTATTGTTTCTTGGTCACCGGGGTGAAAAGGGTGAATTACTTGTTCGACAACTGCATTAAAACCCAAACCACTGTCGCCAAGAAATAAACGAAACAATATGCTCTTTAACTGCACTGAAATTAAATTGTCCATCCACTAATTTCATACATTAAAATTATCTGAAACAGTGGAACATAATATGGCCTACAGGTTTAGCAGTCCGTGTATGTTCCACTCGCAAACTCATTCTTTTTGTAAAACGGGACAATTTATGAAGGGTGTTAAATTATCTAAGTCGGCTCTGTGGCTAAGTCGATGCGAACGCTAAGTAATGCAGGGATGCCGGGTTCGATTCCAGCTGCGGGCCATGCTCCTTACGTTGGTTTTGACAGTGGTATCAAGAGAGCCGACCGTCCAGTGGCAATGGCAAACTACTGGACGTAAATGTGCCTAGTGAAACCACACAACAGCCAGGAGCTTTTGGGCTTGGTTCTGCAACGTCCTGTAAAGGATACGCAACTAACCAGTGTCGCTAAAAGATGCCGAGTTCCGTGGTAAGTGACTTATGTGGAATAGACAATAACGACTTGTTCACTTTACGTCACTGCGAAAAGAAGCCAGTTTAAATACCACAGCACCAGAAGCAACACTGTTGTTCACCTTGGCTTACATTTTGAGAAACGTTTCGGTTTCAGAAAAAGTAGAAAGTAACACCTCGCTACCAGACTGGTGTGTAAGCACTGTATATCTATAAAAAAAAAAATCGGTTTACATTCTGCTTTATAATTATGCCAATAAAACGAAATGTAATGAGGACAGGTAACAGGGAAAAACAACAATGCGCAGGGCTCGGGAAGGCGGAGAGTGGAGGAGGGGGTGTGGGTGAAAGGTGCTGACGCGATGTTTTCAACGTTAGAAGGGATTTCCCAATGTCCTATTCTGTGAACAAATTAGCCTTCCTACACATCCCTGAGCTGTTTTCATACTGCAGTTAGCTTCATTGAATACTTTGTGAGACTGAGCTGTTTCCATACTGCAGTTAGCTTCATTGAATACTTTGTGAGACTGGGCTGTTTCCATACTGCAGTTAGCTTCATTGAATACTTTGCGGGACTGAGCTGGTTTGTATGATTAAAATAAATCCAACCATTACTTTCTAATGAGTGGGCTGGTGAAAACAGACTGAGAATAATCTGTGAATGTTGGACTCCTGGTTTTTCCGATGAGACGTTTTAACCGTGGAGTAACTATCTCACTGTTGCCAATGAATTCCTTATTAGTTCCCCTGATATAGAGATTCACTTTCCAGTATGATATTGGCTTCGGTTGTGGTTTAGACGCCATGTTAACAATCGCTCCTTCACACTCGGTCATCAAGATATTTCTGCCTATTCGAAGGAATCTGATGACCATGTTAGCAGGCAGCAAAGGCCCTTGCAAGACGTCGCTTTCATCATTGTACACCAACAGCACGAAATCACAGGGCAGCCTTATGCCACCCGAGTCCCCTCCCCCTCCCCCGGAAAATTCTGGTTAAAATATAAATACCAAACCAAACAAGAGAGCGAGACACACCCGTAACCTTTATTAAAGTCGACCAGTCCAACAAACTTGTGAATGAAAAGTGATCTACTCTATTTGGGGAGACTAAAGTCGAACTAATCTTCCCTTCAAGGACAAAATGAGTAAATGTTTTCGGTGGACGGCAGACGGGAAAAGGACATGGAAGACTTAAAAGAAACCCAGGAAAGGAAAGCAGAAAGGGAAATGAAAGAATTTAAAATGGGTACCTTGGAGAGGAAAAACAACAAACAAGCAGCACTTGTCAACAGCCTGTCAAGAGCGTAGTAGAAAGCACTCATTCCGTAGCTCTAGAGGTCATCCCTATTGATTTCCGTGAAAACTGCACTCGTGCAATGAAAGAGCCTCTGAAACGAACCCACCACCTTTAAACCGCGAGGCAGCTGGTTTGACCACTTCGCGGCAAATGCGACACTTTCTTCCAAATTCTCTCGCCCCATGATCACCTGGATCTTTTATTTTTTTTATTCAACGTAACTTCCATAAATGCCAACAGCTGCAACAAAAACAACAAAAACAGATTTGCAGTTGAGATATGCCAATGTTTCTTTATCAGTTAAAGTAGACTTGCAACGCTTGTTTCAACTATCACGCTCTGTCAGACGCCTACTTACCTGCAAAAAGTCCACAGCTTCTGGAAGTTCACCCTCATGCGATTGGCATTGGAAAACTAAATAAGGAATAGAAAACAAGAGATAGAATTAGAGAATTCAGGGAGACTGCAGATAATACAGGTTCTTAGTGATGCGTCATAGCTACTCGGCTATTGGAGGCCAAAAGCTGACTAGCAATAGAAGGACATCTTTAAATTAATTGTATCTATAATGCTAAGCTACTCTCTTTCACTCACACTCTCTCTCTCTTACACACACACAGATACAAACCCTCACTCTCTCTCATAATCTGTCTCAATCTCGTTTACTCTCCTCATCTCTCTCTCACTGAATCTTTTCTTCTAATTTCATTAACTCTCTATTTCTCTCACTCACTCGCCACTTTCTTACTCATATCTATCTCTTATCTCACTCGTCTCTCTCTTTCACTCGTCCCTCTCTCCTCTCTTACTTTCATCTGTGTCTGATTATCTCACGGCTCTGTATCTCTCTCCTTCTCTTGGTGTCATCTCTTTCTCTTACTCTGCTCTCAGTCACTCTACTGACTCTCTACCTCTCTCACTCACCTTCTTTTCCTCCCTCTCTTTCTCTACCACCTTCTTCTCAGCAGCCCTCCTCTCACTAACTCCTTTTCGCTCACTATCTCCGACTCACACACTCATGTGTAAGAATCTAAATCAAACTAATCAAGTGAAGAAGGCGCAATCGTATTTGTAATAGCAGCAGTAGTATTAGTTGATTAGTTGGGTTATCATCATTGCACTCCGGACATGTCCATAGGTGCTCAGTTCCCCCCTCAGTATGAACCCCAACGGCCGATGGCTAATAGTACCAGTTCTAAGTTGATTAACACGTCTTCTGGTGTGCGTCTCGTTGTTTTTTTTAAAGCCGATCTTAATTCCCAAGTCTGCCATTCTGGCGAGTGATGTGGATTCACTGCCCCCAAAGTCCTATATTCTTCCTATTTCTCTGAGGGCATTAATAATATCAGCATGATCCATAGGCTGAGCGTCGGTAGTGATAGCGGATCCAGCCAAACTGTCAGCTTTTTCATTTCCATCGACGCCTGAGTATCCCGGAACAAAAATAAAGGTGACTCCACGCATAGTGGACTTCTGTAATGACTCATGAAATTGTCTTCGCACCGAACCTGCATGAACTCTCCGGATCATACTCATTGAATCACTGAGTATAGCAGTAGTATTTAAGTCTACATCTCACAGTATGTGAACAATGCCATGGGCGTCTGGACATTGGGACTAAGACCCCCTGGAGATTCCCCCCCCCCCCCCCCCCACTACACCCCATAGAAAATGTACATTAGGGGGAGGGCGAACGTTAACTGACCTCCCTAACCTTCTAAAATGAGCGCCCTCGAAGACTTCTTGGTGGCAATGTGGATGGAAACTGCTGTGTACCAGAGAGCATAAGTGCTATAAATGAGCAACGACATAGGATTTTTCGTATTACTTCCTACAGTTCGGTGGTGGCTACTTTTTCTTTCAGAAATCAATGGCGATGTAGAATTTAAACTATAGCGATTGACTAATAAAGAGGACCTAGCAAAGGGGACAATAGAAGACACTAATTCTCTGAAGAGGTGCAGTGTGTCGCATTTAGACTAAGGGCACAACATATAATTTTAACATAGAAGTGTATGTATGTACTCACGGTTTTGTAAAACGTTGCACTTCCGGATGTAAACACAGCTAACGGACATAACCTGAAGTTGTGAAAGTCTTTGTCTGGAAGACTCCGGCAAAGGGAGCAGGTCACGCATGACCGAAATTTCGGCATTGATTTGGTCACGACGTTGTTTTGAAGCCCCTTTGTTTGACCTGAGGAGATAAGATCAAGCAAGAAATCAGCAGATCGCAACGGCATTCTTTGTTCAAAAGCAATGAGATATAGAACACTAAATGGTTTCCACATGGCAGCCTATTTAGTTAGTCCACAGATAATCAGCGTCCTCCCCGTGGGGGATGCAATTTTTCGTTATTTCAAGCCCCACTCTGGCTTTTGCTGGGGGCCCTAAGTATAACCGGGTCATAAATATTGCCTAACGGCTGAACGGTATTTCTGGAACCTCTCTAGGGGCAATCATCATCCGCATGGTGGCACTCTGTGTCACCGGGTGTTAATCGCTTTGTGTGATGTCCTGGTGGGGTACAACCTACATATATACAGATAATCAGCAGTTTCGATAGACCTGAGCTAAGTGATGTTAAAATGACTCGCCTTTGTCTAACTGTAAGACTACACCAGTTGGGAGAGAGAGTATCAAAGAAACACCAAGAGGAAGACCAGTTTACTCGAACAAATGTTTATTGCTAATTCATCAGTCGTGTCGATGTATCTACCTATCGTAGATCGTCTGGAAAATTTTCTCGTGCAGAGATCGACTCAGGTAATATCCGTTCCCACGTGGGATGCAATTTTTGGTTTTTTGAAGTCCCACCCTGGCTGTTGCCGGGTGCCCTAATAAAACCGAACCTATGGGTTGGACTGGGTTTCTAGGACCTGCCCCCGGCTGATCCTCATACAATCAAATGGTCGCACTTTGTGTCACCAGGTCTTTATCGTTCGGTGTGATGTCCTGGTGGCGTAAAACGTCAATCAGTCAGTCAATCTGTTAATCTGGGTAACCTTGTTTAAACGTGAGTCTGTCATTCAATCCTGCTTCCGGTTACTGATACTAGCGAACATTTCTTCTCAACTTCTAAATTCTTGTTTGTAAATGTACCATTGTCTATTCATGGCATGTGCTAATGAAGGCATTCTAGCCGCAACGTTCAACGTTTTTTAATTGTGAAAATGTGAAGCTGACGAACTCTACTTTTCGGTTGGTTTGATATCTTCTCATGATACATAACCAATAATGATGTGTGTCATAGTTTTATTGTTGTTGTTGTTCGTCCATCATAAGTGATCATGACCACGCTTTCTTCCATCCGTCACGAGACTTTAGTTGACTGCCTGTGCGTCCACAGATGACTTAGAAGCCCAACACGGATCCCGAAGGATCTAGGACCATGGCGTCAGGGAACAGTGTCTGTATGTAAAGGGCCTGTTTTCTAGATGCCTCGAAAATCGCTGTGCCTCTTCGGATTGTCATTCGCCATATAGTCCAGTCTTGTGAAGCAGCCTCCAGATGTCAGGGTTAATCCTCAAAGCTTTGCGTGATGCTTCTGGCGTGTCCTTAGCTGCGTTTTTTAAAAATAATTTGTTAATTTCTGACCACCATGAAAGCGTCTACCTTCTTTCATGTCACCGTAAAAGATTATTTTTGGGAGCTGATGGTCTGGCAAGCGGACGAAGTGACCAGCCCATCGTATCTATGTCTGTATCAGGATGATACCGATGCTAGGAATACCAGCCCTGTCCAGTTCGTCAGTATCAGTGACCCTGTCTTACCATTCGATATTGAGTATTTTTTCCCAGACAGACTGAATGGAAGTGGCTGAGTTTCCTTCCATGACGTCCACGTTTTATAAACACATAGCAGCAGTAGAATCACTGCAGCTTTGTATACCTTCAGTCTGGTTTTTATAATAGGCTGAAGAAGAAAAGGCCGAGCAATAATCAAGCCGTGTTCAGGTCTAGACGTTTTATTTCCATATAGATAACCCTGAGTAACGCCACTTGTTTTCTAGGGGAAAGAAATGCCCTGGTAGTAATACGAGTATTAGTAACAGCACTTGGGGGAAACCAGTAACAACATTAAGAGTTCTATTATAACAATAACAGTAGCAATAGTAGTATCATCGACAGTAGTAGTATCATCGACAGTAGTAGTATCATCGACAGTAGTAGTATCATCGACAGTAGTAGTATCATCGACAGTAGTAGTATCATCGACAGTAGTAGTATCATCGACAGTAGTAGTATCATCGACAGTAGTAGTATCATCGACAGTAGTAGTATCATCGACAGTAGTAGTATCATCGACAGTAGTAGTATCATCGACAGTAGTAGTATCATCGACAGTAGTAGTATCATCGACAGTAGTAGTATCATCGACAGTAGTAGTATCATCGACAGTAGTAGTATCATAAGTAAACACGACAGCAGCAGAAATATGAGAGACTTATTATAACAGCAGCAACAACAGTCGCTATGACGTAGCAGCAGCAATAAGAGTAGTAACAGCAATAGTACTCCAGGCAGCAGCTATAACAATAGCATTAGGAGTGAAATCATCGTCAGCGGTAGTAACAGAATGGTAACAGTTTTCAGATTTTTTCTTCTCCAATATAGACCATGCTGATATTTTAAATGCTCCACGAGAAGTAAAATGATTGCGAGAACCAAGCGATGAAGGTGAATCTGCAGCCATACACCAGACTGCAAGAACAACATGTTAAAAGGGGTGTAGTCAGACAAGAGCAAAGGATGGAAGCCAAAGAAGAATAAGAAATCAGCACAGAATTGGTGTTATCTTTATCTTCTTATTCTTCGCGTTCACCAGCCGTAAACTCCGACGGACAAGTTCTGGTTGTTCGTCCACTTCTGGACTGCAGTCCTGTTCCAGAACCTGAGTGTTGCTTGTGCATCCGTTTTACAGATCTGATTCATTGGCATGAAGATTGCTGGTTCCTTGCCTCTCAGGCAGATGTACTCCGACTTCGAAGGAAGCTCCCAATTAGTCGACTCTTACGACATGCTTTTGGGTAGGCAGTGGGTCTATTCTTGTTTTCTCTATAATAGGGTCGCGGAACCCACACGGGTAACTGGTGTTATGAGCCGTTACACGCTGCGGAATTCACCAAGGAGGGAATCATTCATGGACTGAATGGTTCGATGTGGATTGAAGATAATCTGTCGACAAACCAACTAAGATTTGTGTGTGTGTGCTCTACTTGAAACAATATTATCTGCGAGATTCTCGTTGTATTTCTACATATCATTCTTTATCCCAGTCTACATCTTATTGTTGTATTAACCCAGATCAAGGTTTATCCAATTCTGTACATCCCTATTGTTTTATTCTATTTAAGAACACCCCACTCGTTGTATTCCCTTAGACCAGTGGTCAATAACCTGGGTGACGCCACCACTCTCCACTCCCAGGGGGACGCGAGGAAACTCCAAGGGGGCGTCTAAGCAATTTTGAAAACGAGTTCAGTTGTACTCATAATCTGTTAAACTAAATGAAAAAAAAAAAAAAACAACCTGAGGGGGTTACCATGTACTAAAGGGGGAGCTACCTAAAACAAAACAAAAATTGGAAACGAATTATACGTAACTAATCCTCGTATATCCCCAAATATCTTAGTGTATCTCGGTTTACAAATACATGTCATATTCTGTCAAATGATATTTATCCCCGTCTATCTTAGTTTATCCTTGTCTATATACTCCGCCCCTCAAATCACAATATATCACAGCTGACACATCCCGTCGTTAACTCCCCATGACTTTTGCAAAGAGGTTAACTTAACCATGAAAACTTGAACGCCCCATTCCCGCACAACAGCCGGTCGAATATTAGTTTGGTTGTTATGTTACCTGCCTGCTGAAATCTGGTTATCTATCCAGGTCAACAACATGCAGTTCTTGCAGTCAGTTCTGTGCAGTCTGCATAGGGAGACATTGTTGCAAAGCCTGCAAGATCTAATCGTTACTGCACACGACGTCATCCGATAAGCCAGCAACGTCTTAAACTGTCTTTGTCTGGCTTCTCCAAGGACAGTATTTTTAAAACAAATAAGACAAAACTAATCACAAGCGGGGATTCTGAGCATTACTAATGGATGCTGAGGATTGGTTGTCAGGGCAACGTCGATATAATCATGTATAATAGGTATGGTTTTATAAACCACACATAGACATGGGAGCTACGTGATAATAAACGTCATAAATCGATGGTTTTTAGAAACTTGACAAAACATATCATGTAATCGACATTTGAGAACCACGACAATGTATACAATTGTTGACTTTCTGAAACAACGCATAAATGATTGTGTCTTAAAGAGAGAAGGGTAGATTACATTAGAAAAAAAAAAACGGAACCCAAAAAAAGATCACGATGCAGACACTGGATACGTAATATTCGGACAGACCTGCAAAACATTCAGTTATCAACTGAAAGAGAATGTCAGTCGCAGAGATTAAGGGAGGCGGGTGCTGTCTGTGCCAATAAAACTCAAAGAGGCACCAAGAAGGTCGCACAAGCATAACCATCTGTAGCTCCAGGGATGGTCTCTTATGGATTTCCGAAATGAAACATCTTCAATCGTGAATTAAAGCAGTGTTTTTCAACACATGATTCGCGGCCCGCTGGTAGGCCACCAGAATCTCTGCTTTATCATCTAATGGGTTACGGTAGGTAGTTTGTCTCTTCCAGATTTGCAGACTGTAGTAATGCCACCCCGAAAATAAGAACCAAACAGGTACAAATCCCGGAACCCAGTTCAGCTGCATAAGACAGTAATAATACTGCACGTTACGCAACATGTAGTCCAGTCGGAAAGTAAAACACACCCGATTTCTCTAGTATCTGCCAAACAATTTTCAACGAGCCAATTCCTATTAAGAACTGAAGTGTAGCCCAGTCTTGGCTAAGAATAAGAACTATAACATGGTCAGGCGGGCCGTGAAACAATTTTTTCCCGTGTTGGTGGACCACAGATGTAAAAAGGTTGAGAAACACTGAATTAAAGGATGGATTCTGAAACGGAACCCACAACATTTAGTCCGCTGGAATAGAAATCGCCAGTAAGAAAGTTTTTTTTAATGGTACGATCAACTAGGTACTGAAAATTTCACCACTCTCGGTCACCGTTTGTGTTCTGGAGGCCCATTTTGGGAGGAAAAGAGCAGTCTCAATGTCCATGTCGTACAAGGCTATCAATTACAGATTAAATTATACTAGATGTGTTAGACTAGCAAGATGAAACTGATGTGTATGTTACTGGTATACAATTTTTCGCAGACGATTACGTTAGCCAGCTTTCTTTGGGGACATTGCCGTATGCAATGTTCAGCGTGTCCGTCTAGCAGGGCTTAAATGTTAAACATTCTCTTAACTAACAAAGATACAGCAACCTTTTCTGTTAGAAGAAGACACATAATTGAGGATACATTTTCGAATTGTTGTTTCTTTTTAAAGCACACCTGTCTATACACACTGCAGACAACATTCATTGTGGGGATAATACATAACCGACTGATTTAAAAGTACCCAAAACAAAGAAGATGATCAGTTTACAGCAAGATGTTACTTGAATCATCGTTGTCAACAACAACAAAAATAACACACGATGCTACTTTACATGACCAAGCTTATTACATACAAATAATTTGCCATGTGTGACGTATATCATCATCAGGTGCCTTGCCGACGGGCGTGGGTGATCATGCCTCTCCATAATCTGCGATCTCCTGCAGCATGTATCAGTTCGTGTGCCGACACACCTCCATGCCATGCAACAAGACTGTCAAGCATCTTCTCTCGTTGCCTTCCTCTATCTCTCCTTCCACAGATCTTTCCAGTGGTCACAACATGTTCGATTTTCCCTCTTCTCATAACATGGCCGAAAAATGATGACTGTCTCCATCTGATGTCTGTGATAAGTTGTCTTCGGGCTCACGCCTCTTTCAAAACCTCTTGGTTGCTCTTTTTGGCTGTCCAAGGTATTCTAAGCATTCTTCTGTAAAACCACATCTCTGAGGCCTCTAGAAATTGTTTGGCATGCCTACCGATTGTCCAGGATTCACATCCATATGTTAAAACTTGATGTATGTAGCAAGCAAGAATTCTTTTTCTAACTCTCAATGACAAAATGCACAAGATGTTTTACATTTTATAAAATGCCGTTTTTGCCTGTCCTATTCTGTTTCTTATCTCAGTTATGCATCTTCCATCTGATGTTATCCATGTGCCCAGATACTAAAATTTATGTACTTGTCCTAAAAAAACACCATCAACTTTTATTACACACTTAGGAATTTTTTTCTCTCTGATACAACCATTACTTCTGTCTTCGCATTGTTCAAACTGAAGCCCTTACTTCCACTTTCTAACACCACAATGTCTATCATTTCCTGTAGTTCTTTCTGACTTGTTGCTATCAAGACTGTGTCATCAGCATAACGTAAAATGTTTATTTTGTGCCCACCACCACAATTCCAGGCATACCAATTAAATATCTCATTATATATTCACTGTCTATTGAAAACAAATCAGGTGACAGTACACATCCTTGTCGTACGCCCCTCTTTTTATTCCTTGAAATGTACCTAAAACAGTTGTTAATTCTTATAGCTGCTGTTTGCTGCCAATACATATTCTTTATTATTCGTAGATCTTTCCCATCAATATTTAATTTTTTTTCTAACAGTTTGATTACTTCTTCATGCTTCACACAGTCAAATGCTTTTGTAAAGTCTATGAAGCATATGTATAAACCAGTCTTTACTTCTATAGCTCTTTCTGACAATGTCCTTAGGATGTATATGGCATTGTTTGTACCTTTTGCTTCTACAAATCCGCATTGTTCATCGCGGATTTCTGGCTTAATTTTGTTTCTTATTCTTCTCATAATTAATCTCAGTAAAATCTTGGTCATGTGACTCAAAAGACTTATTGTGCGATGGTCTTCACATTTTATAGTGCCTGGTTTCTTAGGCAGAGCTATGAATATGGATTTTAAAAGGTGTAGTGGCTAGACTCTAGCCTGCGGATCATACGTTGGTGGGTTCAATTCCTGGAGGAGCCGAACTATTGTTTTTTTAAATGGCCTTGGCGCCTACGTCGCTCCAGCCTTAAATCAGTACCTGGTAAAGTCATGAAAAGTAAAGGCAGCCATCACCCATCGAGTGCCGATTGATCTATAAAATACAGGTCTATCCCTATAAGCACAATACACCCTAAGGCATGGAAAAGGGTCCTTTGTCTTGACTTCCTTCTTCCTAAAGTCCATGACTTGTATTGTTGTATGTAATGTCTATCCACAACCGTCTGTCTCGTGTACTTTCAGTCAACTCTGACACAGATGATCCTCCATACCATGTGGTGTTGGTAGTCATGTATATCCACAACCGTCTGTCTCGTGTACTTTCAGTCAACTCTGATACAGATGATCCTCCATGTCATAATGTCAGACTGTCTAGATTCTCCTCTCTCGATGTGCACCTGCCTCTTCCCCTCCAACTTTTCTACTTTCACGATGTACTCCAGTTTTCTCCTTCTCATGACATGGTCAAAGTATGTAGACTGTCTCTTTCTGATGTGGGTAATCAATTCTCTTCGTGAGTCAGTTTCTTTCAAGACACCTACATTACTTTTTATACCTGTCCATGGTATTCTTATCATTTGTCTATAAAACCACATCTCTGGAGCTTCCAACAATCTTTTCACCAATTGACTAACTGTTCATAATTTGCCTCCGTATAGCAGCATAGGATTTACAAAGCTTTACATAATCCCCTGTCTCGTCTCAACTGATAAAGAAAATGTGTACATTTTCTAAACATTTTCTTACATTATTATAAATTCTTATGCACTTGAACCAGACCTAGGCCCCTGAGCCCCAACCCCCTCCCCCGCGCCTCCCTAAAAAAATATGGAAGAGGCAAAGCTCACCTGCTTCCCCCTACAGTTGTTTCTTTGTCAGTGTCCCTACTTATTGGCGTCATCTGGGTGTCTCGGAAAGAACCTAACTTATAACAGCAATGTAAACTTACCTATCGAAATCAGCGGGGGGTAGCTCCTCCATTGGTACCATAGCCATCTCAGCATTAGTTTATCCCCGAAACTGTGTTGTTTGGATTTTGTATTTGTTTCGAAAAAAAATATATATTATTTCCGTGTTAACGCAAATATTTTAATTATCTTCACAACATACGTTGACTTTTCAAAATATGAAATAAAATAAACGGCGAACGAAATAAAAATGAAAATAAATTACACTGCCAGGGCAAGGCGACCAGCGCCTAGCATCGAACCAGCGACAAATCCTACTGTTGTGTCACATGGTAGCTGTATATAAAGCAGCTTCAAAACTGTCGTGATCACGTGAATGAAACCATTGGCTGAGAGTGCACGGCAGGGCGATGACGCCATATGTTTGTCAACGTCTTCTGTTGCCTGGACTGGCTTTCCTGTTAAAGAAGATAAGTTTGCTTATCAGAGATAAGTAACTACACACCTGTGTTGTTCTACCAGGCCAAGGGCATTGGGAACTTGTCTTGACTGGCGCCTGTGCTGTAGGGCGGTGTACGACAGGTGGGGTCTTTAGCCTGAAAGAGTAAAAAAGTAGGTAAGTAAAGGTCGCTTTTCCACGCCTTGAGGTGTATAGGCCATATAGCACTAGACCTATATTTTTACAGACCAATCGGCACATGATGGGGGATGTGGTCAACATCAAGCCGGCCGCCTTTACTTCCTGGGACTGCACCCGATACCCACTCAGGACTGGGTCGACCTGGGAGTCAAGGTCATTTTTTAAAAGTCCGGCTCCGCTAGGGAGCGAACCTACGACCTTCCGATCCGCACGCGAGCGTCTAGCCGCTACGCCACGGCGACTCCCTGAAAACTTGAGGCCACGTGGTTAATGCAGCCGTTATGAACTTTGCAAGGTTAGGATTTGATGAATACCTCGACCAGACTTTCCTTGTGGCGAACGCGGGAAAACGCCATCTATAATAATTACGGGCACACTGAGACCCCAGCGCCTAAACATGTTCAAGGGGGCGAGGCAGCACTCATAACAGAAAATGTATTCATGGGCACTCATAGAGAGAAGTAGAAAGATAGAAGAACACACTTGACAAAACAAAAATCGAAAGTAATAGTACCGTGCCTGAAATCGAACCCGTCACTTCCAGACGGCATGTGCGCCTCGCCAGGGAAACAAGCGCACTAAGAACATGGTCAACTAGTGGGAATAACCACTCTCTTTTAAGAAGTTTGTTTATGCATTTCATATTAGGTCACACATTTTTATATTTATTTGTCATATAATAATAATAGTAATGAAGACGTCTTTTTTTTTTTAAAAAACTGACTCATGAAGAGAACTCATTACCCACACCAGAAAGAGACAATCTGCCCACACCAGAAAGAGACAGTCTGCCCACACCTGAAAGAGACAGCCTACATTCATTGGTAATGTGACGAGAATGAGAAATCCGGAGTACATCGTGACAGTTGGAAAATGAAGGGGAGGAGTGGCAGAGAAATACCGAGATAACAGATGCTGGACCGTTTGACATCATGACTTTAAGGATTATCTGTGCCAGGTTGGATTAAAAGTGCACCAGACAGAAGGTTGTAGACAGACAAGACTACCAACGCCACACGGTGTGGACTTTAATAATAAAAATTATTATTATTATCGTTACAAATACCAAAAGGACGCTAACTGCCCGGGACATCTGAGGCGATGCTTGCCGCTCTGCACGAAGTATGCCTGTCTCCACCTTTCTCATCATGCTTTGTGGGGGGGGGGGGGGGGGGGTTTACATACCCACTGCACCATAACAAGCGCGTTGGTCTGTCTACTTTGATCTCATCAACGCCTCAAGAGTTCTTTTCAGAGCTACTTGATGGCAGGCGCTGCTAAGCCATTTTATATGGCGCACACAACATAGTCACAATTATAACCTATAGCTTCGCCTTCGGGATGCTAGCTGAACGTGGCGATTTTCTATTTTTTTTTCGCAGTGATTACGGCCTATGAATTGTTAACCCTATCTTCTTCACATTGTATAGTGAACACAGTTTGAACGTATTCAGACTAAAGGAATTATAATTGTCTTTGGCTGCACACGAGAAGCACCAATGAAAACAATTTGGTATAAGTTTGGGCTGACATCGGTAAAGTCTAGACCAACACCGGCGCAAGTCAAGGCCTACAGGCGAGTTACCAGTGATGAAAGAAGGCATCCGCTGCATGGCTGTCTGTCAGATTTAAGAGGGACCGGTTGAAAAGAGGAAAGTCATGAAAGTCTCCTCCTCTGCTTCTATTCTCATGCTAGATGAGGAGAGACTCTTAAGAGCGCTGTGAAGAGAGCGACGTTCTGTAAACGACTTGCAGACCGATGATGTACATTATATCAAGCAGTAAAATATTGTACAGTGTTGTGTTCTCGTTATTTACAGCAGCCTCCCCCAAGACACAAACATAACTATACCACAAGCACAAATATTTCTCCAGGCTTCGAAACCCTTTGGCAATATCACACCGTGGATGAAACTGCATATTGCCAAAGCCACAACTGCAGCCAACCATCATTGTGGAGACAGCGCAAATGAATACAGTATAGTTAAAAAGTGAAGAGACAAGACAAGAAGAAATCATACCACCACAAACATGCTGTATCTATAAAGTGAATGAATGAATGAATGAATGAATGAATGAATGAATGAATGAATGAGAATGAATGAATGAATCAAGAATTGACATCACTGCGCTCGGTACATGCTCCACGTGTGCTTTCCCTCCGCGGTTGCCAGCGACGACTACCCACGCCAACTTAATTAAACAATTCACCCCCCCCCCCCCCCCCAACAGTATCTTATGCTTCTTCTTTGGCTGTAAGCTCTGGAATATTCTGGTTGTTCGTCCACATTTGGACTCTTGTCCTGTTCAAGAACCTAAGTGTTGCGTGCACATCCGTTTTACAGTATGATAGCGTCCAGACTGTATACACAGTTCTCAACGAAATCATTTTCTCCAGACATGGATGCTGTGCTCTGCTGCACTGTTTACTCATCCCAGAGAGCTCTCGCCACGTCCACTGTATAGTAAAGTAGCGCCCCGCCAAGAAGGGAGGCAGCATTTGTATCTTGTTTCGTAATTCTTCAAAGTAGTGACCTTTTCGATGGGGGTACAGACACCTTTGTTGTTTGTAGTGTCTATGGTTGTGTTGGCAGTAGGCGGTGCTTTTGTTGTGTATGGGTGTGTGTGTGTTCCCCCCCCCCTCCCTTCCCTGTGTTTTTGTCCCTCTGAGGTTGCGTTGATCGCGACCGTTTTGTGATCTTAACATACACTCGATGTTTTTGACTGACAATGCCATTGCTTGAGTTGTTTTCAAGAAGAAGGCAGGGAAGCCCCTAAGAGGTCGAAGCTTGAAATCGCCATCTTGCCGGAACGTTTGATCGGTCTGAAAATGTATGCTTTCCCCGACTAGAACTATCCAAATTCAAAAACTGTTTTTAGTACTTTTTGGCACAATAAAATACTCAAAATTTTAAAACTATAAATGGTGGCCCAAAGGACGTTGTGTGGAAAAGCTCGCTCTCCTACGAGATACGCCTGGCCAAATCAGAGAGAGTTGACACCAAGAGGAGACACCAGATAAGAAGAGGAAAGAAACGAACAGTTAACAACAGGGTGCAGGACGAGCGGTCGGAACCAGATGGAAGCATCAAGCCCAGAAATGGCGCAATACTAGAATTTAGTCACGAAAGTGACACAAATAACCCAGACCACAAACATAGGCGGAGACTGTTAGCAGCCTCGGCTACCTAGCAGCAGTCTGAAAATGGTAAACCTTTTTTTTTCTTAAAAGGACTAGGACTAGGATCTCTCCTACTAGTCTGCTCGTTACCACGCTAATACGAATATCCTGGAGAAACTCTGCTAGTCAGTTATAATTATATATCATAGCAAGTACTATGTCTGTCTATCAGAAGGCAGCCTCCATATCATATCAAAAGAAAGAATTTACTGAAACATCTTAGTGTAGCTATTGTCTGTCTTCAAGTACTGTGCGGAAAAAGGTGATGTTAAAGGTCAGAAGCGGACCTGTTGCTCTGAAGGTTATGACATCAGCAGATATGGAACAACGGTTTCTCTGTGTAAAGTAAAGCAACAGTTCTGGTGTCCGTCGGGTGACGTTCACCTCCACTAGGACCACACAACAATCGATGAACACCCGATGACACCAAGTGCCACTTTATGGATGACAATCCCTCCGCTAGGCGCCGGTGCCAAATATCCCATTCAATCCTTAGGTTTTATCAGAGTCCCCGTAAACAGCCGGTGTGGAGCTTTAAAAAACAATGGTCTTACATTAAGACTGCCAATAATGAAGGGGATAGCAATTCTAAGTAAGTCTCACACTGGGCAAATGATACCAGACTCATTTTTGTATATATAGACAAATCGGATCGGCGTCGGTGGCTTTGCGAACGAGCTTCATAATGCCGGGGTGCCGGGTTCGATCTAAGCTGCGGGCCTTGTGCTTTGCGCCTTGCGTTGGTTTCGACAGTGGTATCGAGAAGTCGACCGTCTAGAAAGCAATGGCAAACTACTGGACGTAAATTTGCCTAGAAAAACCACAACAGCCAACAAATGCTAGGGTTGGTTCTGCAACGTCATGTAAAGGATTCGCAACTTACTAAAGACAAATCGACAGTCGACAAGTTTTGCAGTCAACATCACATTGACCGCATCTACCTTCAAAGACATTACATGGCATTCATTTTAGATTGGGTTGACCTGGGAGCCAAGGTCAATAGTCTTCCTAAATCCGCCACACCACATCAAGACGGAAGTCAAACTAAAAGTAACCGCCACACCACATCAAGACGGAAGTCAAACTAAAAGTAACCGCCAATCCAAATCAAGACGGAAGTCAAACTAAAAGTAATCTCATGTTTAAACACGCCACGAAAGTTTCGTAAGGGTTATATTTAAAGTAGTACACATAAATATCCAGGTAGCTGAAATATGTTGATAAATAAATTGATCGGGACGCTTACAAACAAGGCTGTTGAATTGTT